GTATTTCTCGGTACCACGTGTGGACAAGTAATTTCGACCTGGGTACAAACTCATAAATGATGACAGCCAAAGAAATCTAAATTCTGATTACACAGTTTTCCATATAGGCAAGTCATTAAGGTTTGTTGTGCACGTCTGGCATACCAGTAGAGTATATTATGGAATTTTTAGCCGATTGTGTAAAGCTGCGATAGTAAGTCTCACGTCAGATGTATCTCTCAGCGCGTACGCGCTACTTGAATACGAAGTGCTTTTTCCTGTCCAACCGGAAAATACCTATTTTGTGAATTATCCGCTTGGGAAACCTGATCTTCCTAGCCGGTGAATTAAATTCAACCATTACTTACATATTGAATCTCTGTGTGGTAAGCCCAGCTGTCTCGAACTACTGCCAAAGCTTCAGGGGCCACTTCTGTAGCAGCACTTGTTCAGATAAACAAGACTTGTTGGTCTACCACGTGATTGCTGTGAAGCCAATCATCCAGAAAGTACTAGGTAAAGTCGAAAACCGTATCCTTTCCTCATAATGTACTTTATCAGCCTTATTCTTGTTCTTGTTGGTAGATACTGTTGCTCTCTTATTCGTATATAGCATAAGTCATAGTGGTTGTTAGTATGGCTGTTGAAAGTTGCCTTAGAAAAAACAATGAAACACCATACTCTGTAGTCACAAGGGCTTCATCCAGAGAAGGCAAAAACCCAAAGACATCAAGCCCTTCCCGCATACTAATCCTAAAGACTCGGGTAGGTCTCGTCTATCCTGATACTACGCCTGCATTACCACAGTCTAGTACTGAAACGGCACAGGCAATAACAGGGGGACAGGATATTACCCCTGCATCAACTGAAAGCCAGTGCGTGACACATGGCAAAACATGAAGGAAACGCTCAAGACGTCATTAGACCTCGAAAGCGTCATCAAGGAAGGGGGACGAATGTCAGATGTGTAGTATCATAGTTGCTAAAGCTGACTCGGCGTTTGAATGCAATTCTTGCAAATTATGGGTACACTGCCGTTGTGACAAAGGGGTGCCGAAATCATAGTATAGTTTATGCGCAATAACCCATGCCAATGGTTTTGGTATATCTGCCCACTTAGTCGCCCTGGCATAGTCCCACAGAGCGTGTTTGCTGATAGCAGAGACAACCCGCGACTATTATGTCTCAACACAGTCTCATGCAGCTCCCCACCTGCTAACACCACACTGCCAAAACTTGGTACAGACAGTAAGAAGGACACTTCAGTCCAACTGACTGGAAATAACAATCTTCACAAAGTGAAGAGTCCCAAGGCTGCACCCACAACATCAGGGAAAGATATAATTTCCAAAGCACCACTTGCATCCACTAGCAAGCTTGGCAACACGGCAAAGGCTGGTTAAAACCTGATGAGGCCCAAAGTTACTGACGCTGCAATTGAATACAAGCAGCCAAAGGCCAAACCTAAGTCTGAGGTCAGTCGGTCTAATTCTCTTATCATTTTTAATGTACCTGTGAGCAAGGATGGCTTGGTTGAACAACGGGCCCCGTTTGATCAGGAACAGTGGTCCAACTTGTGCAATAAATTAAGTCTGAACATTAGTTCAGCGAAATTGTGCAGGCTGTACAGGGGTGTCCACACACCTCAGGTTACACTGGACTCTGCCGAAGAGGCCGGATGGTACTATTTATGGCTCAGCTACTAGCCATCGACAGAAGTTAGAACATAAGGGTGAGACAAGACAGACCATGGGCTATCAGACAAATGGCGAGGAAGTCACCGGAACCGATGCCTTCTACCTCTATGGTCGTACACGGTGTTCTGGAGCTGGAGACGGGCACCGCTTGTGAAAAGACATGCATAACGTACAGCAATGGAGATGACTGTCGTCTCATATGGGCCTTGGCGCTTCTGCAGTAATCTCCATTTTCCGGGATTGGAAAAGAGCCATCCTTTCTCCGATCTTCAAGGGTGGGGATAAGCAAAATGCCACTAGTTATAGACCATTAGCTCTACTCCCAGTGGTATCAAAAGTACTGGAAAGTACTATTGACGATCACATCACGGATTACCTCGATATGTCTAATAAACTCCATGAAGCCCGACACGGTTACTAAGCTACTATCATCTTGGGACGATTGGACATCATTCTGGGATATGAATATTCCAGTCCATGTGGTCTTCCTAGACTTTGAGAAGGCATTCGACACTGTTCACCATGACCTTCTCCTACACAAAATAAGCCAGGCAGGTATAGGTAAGCCAATTCTATCATGGTTAAAGGACCACCTAGGTGAAAGGCAATTTTGCACCAAGGTCAATCGAGTCCGATCATCTTAGCACAGCTCGTCATCAGGAGTGTCGCAGGGCTCTATCCTAGGACCACTGATGTTTTTGAATTTTATCAGTGATCTACCATGCTGTCTAAGCTGCCCGACTCTTCTATACCCTGACGACGTGAAGATATGGAGGGCGATAAAGTGTCCGGAGGACTAAGATAGGCTGCAGGAAGATCTAAACCTACTGGAAGACTGGACGGTGGCCAGTGGCATGACTTTCAACCTGAAAAAGTGCAAAGTAGTGAAGTTACGCATCTGTAGACTGAAGAATGCAAGTTACACCCTGTGCAATGAAAGCTTGTCCTGCACAACGTCGGAACGTGACTTAGGTCTAGTTCTAACGGAGAAAATGGACAAGTATAAATTACACGGGGGATGTAGCGAGGGCATATGCGGTCGTACACTTTGCACATAGGCAATTAGGTGCACTCACTCCTGAGCTCTTTCTAAGGTTGTATAAAACATACGTCAGACCGCATCTTGAAGTGCATAATATCATTGCACCCCCACTGCTTAAAAGATACGCCAACCTCTTGGAAAGAGCCCAACGACGGGCAACAAAAGGGGTGGTTCGTCTCCGAAATAAACCATATGATGAAAGGTTGAAGAAATTAGTCCTATTCACACTTAGCTACCGTCGTCTTAGGGGGATTTAATTACTGCCTACAAAATAACAAGTCACCAGAATCACCCAAACGAAGGCGTTCTGCCATTGAGTAGGTTTAGGCTCCCTCCTGGAGACCCCAGAAGGATAGCTCACCAGAGGGCAAGGAGTCGGGTGCGCTCCCACTACTTTTCACTGCGAGTTTGCCGTCCCTAGAATTCCTTACCGGCAGATGTAGCTGCGTCACCGTCTGCGGACGCCTTTAGGCGGAGGCTAGACAGTCATGCAGCGACACAAGGACTGCGTCCAAATGGCCTATCCCCTTAAAATCCCATGCACCAATCTGGGGTAGACAACTAAGTTCGTCGTTTTAGTTCTTTACATTCTCTCCCGTCTTACTCTCCTGACAACTCTAACTAAACTTATTATTATTACTTATATATATCATATTCAAATTTAATCAGCTGACTGTTGTTACGCTTTCTTTATTTCTTTTTCTGTGTTTTAGTCTGAATAACTTCACTAATTATATCTATCATTATTATTATCTCTTTTCTTTTGAAGACGATAGCGGAGGACTAACTAGTGAAAGGATCAACTCCATTCACAGTAGTAACAGTCTTAACACACCTCATACTACAAACCACATATAACTAATCCCTGCACTGCTCCTTTTGGAGTCAACCAAAACTACGACAGTCGAGTGGCGGGACGAGCTACGCAGAAGTTTACCGAAGATCAGGAATCTATACCTCACAATCAAGAGACGAGCACCAAGCAATCAAATTGGTTCATACCAGCTCGTAAAAACGATATTGAATATATCAGATTGAATAGCCGTTATATTTCACATGTATGCTTGTTATACTGTATCAAAGTATAAACAACGAATGAGTCTTTGCAGGCGGACGTTTAATGTCTTATGATTAAAGTGATGAATTGAATTCAAAAGAAGACGTCAGTTCAAAACCCGGTGATCGCCGAACACTTATAGCCTACCTATTTTTTTGTACATAACTTTTACTTCTTCTTCTATTTAGACGGTTTGTAATTATAAAGTGTTTCGACCCAACTCTTTGTTCTGCCTTTCACATTTTAACCCAGCGTGCTTGATATATTTTTGTCTATGGTGTCAAATAGCACAAGGTATTTCATTGATCTGAGACACTGTAGTATCTAAATTACCTCAAATTGCTTTGAAAAACTGGCACTGTAAATTTCTGACGTTTGGATATCTTCATGCTCAAAGTATCTACCTTGAGCTACCTTAAGATTGTTTCCCGTGCCCGAATAATATTATCGTGACTCTAATTACGGAAATACACCCTAAAAATTTTTACTACGGACCCTTCGACTGTCCAAAGTATACTCTAAATTAACTATACTTGGGTAGCATCCTGTTCTGTAGATTAACCTTATGTGAATTACTCGTGGTTTATTATAAACTTAAACTTACTTCAAGGGTATGTTTATGCACCAACTGTCAAGTGTTCTTGATAGACACTGATGTAGATGAGGATATTTTCCGATTTATTAACCAACGGTTTATTATTGGAATTAACCAGTTGTGGCCTGATAAATGTATTTACTATAAAGCTATCATTATAAATTAAATAAAGTGGAAATTGCTTATCTGAAGTTATAATTTGAGTCAGGTATGAATTCCACTACTAGAAAATAATTGATAATATATACTCAGGATCTTTTCTTTCTGCATGCAAGAAGATTAGCGGGGGCACAGATACTTGGGTTTTGATAAGAAAAGCTTAGCAATAGAGCTGCATGCAGTCTTAAATTACAGTGTTACAGAGTGAAAGCAAAGATTCATAACCGGAACTTTTTTATCGGATGAATTGATAATACATGCAATGGGAATGGTTCAGCACCAGCTCTGATATCTGGGATATTCTAAAGCCCCTGAGAAAGTGGGGAATAAAAACGGAGAATACCAAAATCGGGTTTCAAAGTTATGTGGTTACAAGTGACAGTAGGATGAACAAAAATTGTTTTTAGAACATTATCTAATAAATAATATTGTTTTACTGTGTGGTATATCCAATAAACAAGCTAATACGGAGTGTAGGATAACAAAGGGTTCCAAGTTTAATTTTTATTAAGTACGATTATAAAATGCATATATTTTGCTCCTTTTTTCAGTTTCATATCTCCAAGTACTGTCAGTCTCATACAAGATAAACTTCAGTGCATTTCTTCAGTCCCCTTACCTTCGTTTATTTTAGGTGTTTCTCTAGGTAGTCGCTCTTACGAAAATAAGTATGAACGTGTGAGAATCAAAGACGAAACTAAAAAACGCAGAAATAAAGTGTCAAAAAAGTAAGCACATGAAAACGTAACGCCAAACCATTTATCAAGTGAAATCTTCCGGTGCTTTACCAGATACTGATTTACCAATAGTAATTTGTTATAATTAGTTATTAAAGTTTGGAATTTTTTGAGATGAAATAACTTCAGACATCCCATAAATAGTCACACACCAGTGTTAGAAGGAAGGAAGTTTAGTCATGCGGTAATAACCACTAGAAAATTAAGTTAAGAATGCATCAAAAACAGCTTTCACTTGTGCATGCAATCGTTATTGATGTTTTGATTTTTATATAATAACGCATTAAGCTGATTGATCACACGACCTGTCTACCAGCAGTGAAGTGACTACAAATAGAAGATACGTTAGAATTTTAAGCAGCAATCTATCTCTTAACAGTACTGATGCTATGTGGAGCCGCTAAAAATTACTTCAGGATCAATAAAATAAGGGGGATGGTAAATTTATGTTTAGATTCAACTTTCACCTATGCGCAAACACTTGCATTTTTTTATACTATTAAAGTAGTGTCATAACTCACTATGACCGCTGTCTCGCATGAAAAGTGATCGATAACAGTAGGGGGTTAAACATCCTTTGTTTAACAACACTGTGTGATTTATCAAAATAAAATCTTAACCATTATGGAGTTATACTCTACCACAGTGCCCAAGTTTTATACTTATATCTTTTGTTTAAGCTACCAGATTTCGCAGGAGTAATAGTGATATCTTGGAGACCATTGAATTCTGTGATCAGGCTAGAAACTTCAAAGATTAGCATTGTTTTTCCTTTTCTATCTAAAATACAATTGGTTCTATATAATGAAAACGAGTATAAAACCACTTTAAGTGATTCTCACAGAGTTAACCACTCAAGGGAATACAAATAAGAGCTCTGCACAGTGTGTAGTAATTAAGGATATAGATCGCGAGATAGTTGACTGAGATTTGAAAGAGCATCGTAATAGGAATGAAAGCTTTTTTCAAATAGTGACCAATATTGTTATCATAATTATTTGTCATATGCAATATGTCACTGCCCATGAATATACGTAGAATCTCAGTAATTATAGTAGCCACTATGTGAAATGGCATAAAATATCCTGGAAGTGTTTCAATACAGTCATTTTAGAGACACCTGATTTAATAACTTCCAGTTCAGAATATGGATTTTAGGTAATACATGGTCGGTGGCTAAGTTGTTACTAAACGGTAAGCTAGCAGATATTTGTAGGCCAGATCGCTCTGAAGGTTAAATCACTAGGATATGAGTGATATCAACTTCAGTCTGTTCTCAATTCCAAATATTGCTAACTTAGTCTTAACTTTCCGAACTTCCTAATGGAAAAAGTCCAGCAATTTCAAATCTTCTGGAAAAATGATTCTATATTCAAAGTAGAGCACTTAAAGCCACATGTAGTGTTAGAACAGATCTACTTTATGTCCAACGGAGGATTTTAGTAGTGATTTTTTCTTCTCATCTCGCCTTGATAGTTAGACTTAGATAAGTTCACTACTACAGAAGCATCATAGATAGGAAGCAGGCAGTTATCCTCATCTATAGTCATATTAGAATAACGTTAGAACATTGTGAGCTTTATTCCTACAATGGCGGTGGACGAGTAATTTTTGACTGGTCACTAGGCTGTAACAGATATTATGTGTTTTCCTTGGGTTGGTGCAGACTAAATTCTGTCAGTCAAGTGTGCAGCATGGTCATCATACTAGGTGACACGCTATCGCAGTGCGCACTAAACAGATGTTAGATGACTGGAGAACAAGTACCATTATGTAAATTGCTCTGTTTCCTTGTGATATTGAGATTGATTCGGGTCTTACAGAGAAAGTAAAGGACAAAAACCTAAATGAACTCCTTGTGGCCATCCACTGTCTTCATGAGCAATATGGACATCAATTTAGATTGATGCTCTGTCAAGACATCTGAGAAGTAAATTCTCTGTAAATGACTGTGCTAATAGCTGTTCATTAGAAAGGATGTCTTCATCAATCCCGTCATGTGAGGGCTCTTATCAGCTCTAAAAGTGTACAAATTGGTTGGTGGCATTTTCCTGGAATTCTTTAAATACTTAACTAGAAAATGTGAAAAGTGGTGCTCTATGTATTTTCTACTGTCCACAGTCAAAAAAACTCAATTAACATGCCATCTGATATATAGGAGTTTTAATATAAAACAACAGGTTTTTGATAAGATGCACTACATTCTTCAGTTACTGGGCAGGTAATGACGAAGATTCATTTAAAATCTATTTGGGTCTTTGGGAAATATGTCATGACTTTTGGTCTGTCAGTTACTTTAAAATATAGAGTGAGGTTAAATAGTTACAAATCTAGTGTAGTCAGTAATATTAAGTGGAAATATAGTTATTTCGGAGAAATACAGTTTTTAATCTCTGCATTTGTTTTTCTTTACAATGTTAAACATAGATGAATTCATACAGCAACAACAAAAACTACATAAAACGTTCAGTTAATAAGAAAGAAACATCAAGGAAGTCACAGGGGCAGTTATCGACAGAATACTTGTTTGATGATATTTCCAGTGAAAGTTCAATTGGTGGAAGACGATTTTTGAAAAATCCACAGATACATAATCGTGAAAGTGTTGGTAAGTAAATAAATTATTTTTAATCTAAAACTGTTTGAAGATCTGTAAAACTACTTTAGTGAACCAACGAAATACATTTTTACTGTATTTATTTCGATGAGACTTGTTTATTATTGGCTAGCAATAAAATTTAGAAAGTGAGAAATCAGGTGTATTATAAGGGATATCTGCCTGCTGACCACAAATCGTGACGTGATTTCAAACAGAAGACTGACAATTCTATTCATACTTGAGGTACAAATCCATTAACTGCCTAAATGAATTAACATAGTATCATAGTTCAAATACTCTTTAGCTTCTTCAATCAAAAGTTCGGGTGATCTTTTCAAGTGTCTACAAGCAGTATGCAGTTCAGAATAACTGAAATGTCCTAAACATTATTGGTTTGGTTTTGCACCTAAAATCCATTTAGCGATACGAACAATGTTCATTGGAATATTTCACTAGGTGAAGAACAATAAGTTACATAACCATAAAACAGCAATTTAATTCTTCTTTCGAAAACTACATTTCATGAATATATGGCAAAACAAGTACGCCAAAAAAGATTTATTATTCTCTGGCAGAAAGAGATATCATGAGTGACACGTACCACTGAATCTCATCTATTTCTGTTGAAGTTGTGACAATATGTTTACGTTTCGCATACCATTCGTATTAAACACTTACTACTAAAACCCTATTATTCTAAACAATTGTCACTACCTTTTTTAAATTCTAAATGTGAAGAAAAGCCAAAACAAACTGTAATATATTTGCCAGCATGAACCGCTTTCAGTTGCATTAACCAACTACACGTAACTTGGTTTTATCGTCTACTGATAACTCCAAAAATTCCTATTGTTGACTGCTTATGAAGAGAGAATTTTGTTGAAAGTTGTTATGCACACGTCTTCCCTGAAATATTACGGTCAGTTGGTCACAGTTACCATTTAGTTCTGAGGTAAATTTGAACAATGCAGGCAACTAAAAACAACCATATAAACCTAGTACCATCATTAGCGAATTAAATATACTTCACAAGATTAACAAAATATATAAATTTCGACATCTGTAGCTCAGAAATCAATTATTTGGACGAATATGTGCGCTACTCTGCGTTTGTTTAAGATGTAGCCTACATTAGTATACTATTCATCACTTATCAGTTTAGAAGCAAAGGTAGTAAGCAGATGTTGTTTCTCGTGAGAAATTCTACCAGATCATTTTGATTAGTCGAGTCGAAATAAAGTGGATGACTAATGTGTTGGTTAAAGCTGTTTATCAATTAAATTCACTTTAGCATCCATAATTATTTGATTCATCTAGGGTAGGCATAATAACAATCCCGATTGGTTTACTAGTTTACAAGATGGCCCTAAGCCTTCGATAGAGTATATCGTGAAGTGATTTGTAAAATGCTTCCACACTACGGAATGTCTTCAACATTTATCAACTTCATTCAACAGTTATGTGATGATAATGCCAGATGCCAAGTGATTCAAAACAGGAAGCTCACAGAAGCCTTTGAAGTGAAGACAGGGGTAAGATAAGACTGTCTACCATAGTTAATGATTTTTCTGATTGTGGTAGTTTGCCTCATGCAAAGAGTCACGGTCATATGTTTGACCAACAAAAAGAACCTAGAAGAAATAGATTTGGCAAATGATTTATAGTTAGTGTCATTTAAAACCTCGAAGATCTCCAGGCAAAACCAACAACTTGGCTGGCGGCGAAAATAGGACTTTAATTGAACATGAAGGCAGAGGTGATGAGGATACCTAACCAACAACAAAGAGCACCAATCACTATCAACGGGAGAAATCTGAAAGAAGGGATCTCCTCCATTTATCTCGGCAGCATTGTTTCAACTATAGGCGGTATGGATTAAGATTACTCTGAAATCAGTGTTGAAATCTATTTCGCTCAGCATAGCGGACAACAGCCTGGTCTTCAACACTAATATCAAGTGCGTCGGTGGCACAGCGGTTGGGACTCTCGCCGACCATGCACATGGTCCGGGGTTCGATCCCCTGCCGATGCACACCTGATATCAGTGGTCGGCCTGCAAAATTTGGGCTACCGATATCATATGCTGAAAATTCCATACTTGTACCAAAAATACTGTATGGAATCAAGCTATAATTAGAAATAAAAATAAATAAAAATAAGTAAGTGATTCTATGTGGTTAAGAGACTTAGTGGTCATATCAGACTTGCATCAGCTGCTTTCGCCAGATCAATACTGAAGATCTGATGGCTGAATGAGGAGGAAGGATAAGCAACAAGGAACTCTGGCAGACACAAGCTAACCAGGAATCAACGGCTCAACAAATATGTAGATGGAGTGGACGTATGCTAAGATCATTGAATGACATCGCACGCCAGGTTCACGAGTGGGAAACGATGAATTTGAGGTGGGTCCGAAGGTGATTTGGAAGAGACTGTTTGAGAAAAGAATGAAAACTTATGGTCAGTCGTGATGCCAGCTGAAAAAGACCTAAGAGAACAGAGCAAAGTGGAGATGTGCTGTTGAAGTGCTCTGTTCCACTCGGAATCCACAGGACTGATAATAAATAGAATATTAGTTGAGGAAGGCATAATAAAATGAGTAGAAAACTATAGAATGTTGCGACCGTCATCACAGATATCTTTATAACGAACGTAAAATGCGAAAAGGTGGATCGGACAGTCACAGGAAAAATGCAAAGCACTTTAATGATACACTGCTTGCAAGAGATGGTTTTGGATATGCTTCTTGTCCATTGAGTCATACCAATGAAACTCCTCCCAGCATAACATCCTTAGATGCTTAGAAGTGATGGTGAGCATGATAAAAATATTAAACGCTAGATCTCAGTCTACAACAGTATTCTTTGGGAATGATGGATACATATCTCGGTCTATCGTAAGCACGCAAGAAGTAGACTCCATTTAAAGTCGGATAACTTTTAAACGACCACCTATAGAGGTGACTACCCGATCTGATTTTTGACCATAAAGAAACATGTACTTCTCAGGACAAAGAGGTTATTTTGTGGAGCTGGAAGTTGCTTGTGCAAGAATGATGGTTCACAAAACTCAGAAGTAAGTACGAGAAAACCCGGACAAAATTAGTAAAATAGAGGGCTTTCTGAATCTCATGTTCAAAGACGACTGTGGTATCAGAATACTGCACTAATAATCGTATTTATTAGATAAGGTAGTGTGCACATATCAGACGAATTCGTCTAGTGGGATAGTCAAAAGCGAATATATGCGTCTCTTTCTTTACCCCTAACTGCCATATGGCGTATCAAGGCGCATGCACTGGAAGGATTCTAATTCTCGCTTTCTGCCTGCATCTTGAAGAGTAGATGTCTTAAACATCTATCGACCTCCCGCAGCATAACACATGGCAATATATCCGTTACTGCACATGATTTCGATTCAGTGAAATAATTTAGTTCGCCTATGTTGTTATTATAAGCACGGGACTAACACCCAACATTTGTTTTCAATATAGTGCAGTTACCAAACTTGAATTTTCTCGGTACAATATTTTAATTATGCATAATATTAACTATGTATCATTTTTTGTCCCATCTTCTCCTCCCAATGGCTTCCGACCTTATTTTCATTTATGTTCTTCACGCTACTCTACCTAGTCAACTTCAGTTATGTTATGTCTACGCTATTGAGTATCAGCACCAATTCTTTCTTCTCAAATTTACGACAGTGGTCTTTATATTTTGATTTTTATTACATCGTGAGTTGTGACTAGTAGGATTCATTATGCCAGGTGCCAGGACATTTAGTCATAAATGATATTGGATTACGCTATTATTATTTATTATTGTTCCCTTGGGTTCCTAGTGGAACATAGGGCTTCAACTGCACGTCTCCACTTGATTCTGTCTTCTGCTGTACTTTTCACCTGCATCCATGTTATTCCATTCTGTTTCAACTCGTCTTCACACGATCTCCTCCATGTCACCCTTGGACGTCCCACTCGCCGCTTCCCTTTCGGGTTCCACTCGAGGGCCTGACGCGCGATGTCACCCAGCGGCCTCCTCAGTGAGTGTCCAATCCATCTCCACTTTCTCCTGCATATTTGTTGGGCGATTGGTTCTTGTTTTGTTTGTTCCCATAGTTTCTTGTTGGTGATTCTTTCAGGCCATCTGATCTTGAGTATAGAACGAAGACAGCTGTTGATGAAGGTCTGCAACCTGTTGGAAATATTCTTTGTGACCCGCCAAGTTTCTGATCCGTATAGAAGAACTGACTGACTTGACGTTTGTATTGAAAATCCGAATTTTGTTGTTGATGCTGAGTGACGAAGATTTCCAGATTGGTTTCAGGTTGATGAATGTGTTTCTCGCCTTCCCGATTCTCGATTTGACATCGTCGTCCGTTCCTCCTGTAGTTGAGACAATGCTCTCTAGATAAGTGAAAGAAGTAACCTCTTTCAAATCCTTCCCGTTGATGGTGATTGGCGCTGGATGTTGCTGCTGCTGTTGTTGTTGTTGGTTGGTTATTTTCATAACCTCCGTCTTGTCTATGTTCACCTGGAGTCCTGTCTTTGCTGCTTCTTCGACCAGTTTGTCGGTTTTCGCTTGTAAGTCTTCGATTTTGTGTGACATCAAACATAAATCATCCGCGAAATCCAGGTCTTCTAGGTTCTTCACGTCGGTCCAGGATATCCCTGTCTTCTCGTTTCCCACTGTCTGACGCATAATCCAGTCCACCACAATTAGGAATATCATTGGTGATAATAAGCACCCTTGTCTGACTCCTGTGTTTACTGCAAACGCCTCGCTGAGTTTTCCGTTGTGGATCACTTGACATGTGCCGTTGTCGTACAGCTGTTGAATAAGGTTGATGAATATTTGGGGTACGCCGTAGTACTCGAGTAGTTTCCAAATTACTTCGCGGTCAACGCTGTCGAAGGCCTTCTCAAAGTCTATGAAGGAAGTTGAGGTAGAGGTTTGATTGCCATTCCATGCTTTGTTCGATGATGATGCGTAGAGTTGCAATTTGGT